GGAGGATCACTTGAGCCCAGGAGTTTTGAGGTTCCAGCAAGCTAAAATGATGCCACCAGCACTCTAGCCCCAGGCAACAGAGTGAGACACTGTCTCAAAGCAAAAAAACAAAAACAAAATGAAAACCTGAATGTCTTAAAACCTTCAATGGTTTCAAAAAAACTTAAAATGAGATTTAACAAAACGAAATCAGTCATAACAACCTTAACTTACTGTATGATCTGTCTCAAGGCTTCTCTCCAACCTCGTCTCTGTCACTGCTCCCTTTAATCATTACACTCTAGCCACATGGTGTTATTTTTGTTCCTCCAATCAGCTAAACTCTCGCCTATCTCAAGACCTCAAGATGATTTTCAGACTGCCTGGGATATACCTGTCCCCCCTCCACCTGGCTAACTCCTACTCATATTTACTTCACATCACCATTACGACAGGATTCTAGTTTTGTCACCATTAAGTACGTTTAAAATAAAAGGACAAGATTCCACATTTGCTTTGTTCACCTGGTACATATCTGATGCTCAATAAATAACTAACCACTTCAATTTCTATCATTCAGCCAGTACTAGCACAAAAAAATTGAAAATTTAAACGAAGGGGGATAAGGGTTACACAAAGGAACACAATCATTTTAAAAATCTGAATGTTCTTACAAACTGTTTATTTGCAAAACTGTGAGAAGTCTCAAAAACCTATCAAAATGTTACCATCAAAAAAAGAGATTTTGAATAAAGAACAAAACATTGTCACAAGTGATTACCCATGAAAGAAGATAATAAAAACCCTTCAAGTCATTTTTCTCTCCCCCATCTTCTGGTTTACAAAAAGATGGGGATGAGACTGACTCAAAATTCTAACTATAAGCATTTAAAGACTCGAAAATACATATAGTAATCATTTCTGGTCAAACAGGAAAAAAAAATTCATGTTTAGGTTAAAATTGCCTTCCACTTAAAAAGAAAGAAAGAGCAGGGGATCGGGGCTGTGAATACTAAAGGCTCCGGAGAGTCGGAAGGATGGGAGGGAAACTCTACCGGCTCCCTTTACATCTACAGCGACGACATTTCCCCACCCCCACCCCAGAATTCCCGACACTGAACAATGCCTGATAGATTCTCTAGCAGAAATTCCATGCAATCAGTTCGATAAGCCAAGGTCTCCATCACGCTCATATCACGCTTCTTCCCCCAACAGCTTCATCGTCAGCCCTTTAAGTCTCGGGCCCGACTCTCAGCGTTGTCCCCAGACCCACTTCTCAACCCCCAGACTCGCGTAGGGTTAATCGATTCCCTTCTAAGGGTCCCTTCTGGGAAACCGCTTCTACGAACGAAACTGGCAAACAGCCGCGGGTAGGGCCGAAAAAAAAAATGAGCTCAATGCTGGGCTCACCTGGGGTTGCACCGTGCTCGACAGGGAAAACATCTCTTTCGGGCTCTCAGCGACCTCACCCGCCTGCCGAAACTGCCCCTCTGTCCTGGGCCCGGCGGGGAGGCGCTGAGCCCTTTTCTTTCTTTTTCTCCCACCTCTGCCCCTCACTCCTCCCAGAAACGGAAAATGGCCTCCTCTTCCTACAGCTGCTGCAAAGACAGACAATCTAACCCGGAAGGAAAGCTCTAACGCAACAGCACTTCCGGGGCAAGTGAGCACCAATCCCTCGCTGTGTACCAACGCTCTGCCTTTTCCGCTGCAGGCGTTTCTACCTTGGCCGCCAGCCCCGAAAGTAGTTGATGTTTACGAGGAACGGAAACCCCAAAGCACTCTGGCTTGTAGATTTTTTTTTTAAGGGGGGAACGGCCTTCACCCTATCGAACCTCTCAGACTTTCTACAGCTTATTAAATCTGATCGAGTCTTGAGCCATTAAGGTCTTTAGCTACAGCTTAGTACTCTTTATCTTGCTCACAGTGAATCTAAAATTCTTCCTGTTGGTCTTGACCTGTTTCAATCAGGCAAATTACATCCTGTGAAAATCTGAGGTTACAGGGCCAGCCATCCGCTTCCTGCTCATCCAGTTTCTCCACATTCTGTGGCTTCACTAGCTTCCAAACCTCATCCCTAGCCATCGCGTTACTGGACAGTCCGAACTGGTTTTTATTTCTCCCGGCGGTGGGAGGTCACGAAGTGGGGGGCGGGGGGAACGGCCGGTCTTGACGGAGGAGCATAGCTTCCCAGCCTTGTTTGGAGAGCGAGAAAGATCTCTTCAAATCCCAGGATTCCGAGTCAGGTCCCGGACGTCCCCTTTCCTGTCGGCCAAGAACTGTTATTGCCTCCTCCCTCATTCCAAATGATGTCAGTGGGCGGTGGTCACGGACCTCGCAAAGCGTGGAGCAGGTTCGAGGCGTTGCCGGCGCCCCAGCCCTCTCGCGTCTACGCAGGGCGGTGAGGTGGACGGGGTGGTGCTGGGGCGGCGCGGCGGCGCGGTGACGTCACGGCCGGCGCGCGCGGCGTGGGCGGAGCCTCACTTTGAACCGGGTTGGCGGGAGTGGAGGTTGGCACAGGGGCTTGGGCCAGTGGCCTGCTTTAGGCTCCTGTCTGCTGTCCAGCGATGGAGCCCACCACCGCGAGCGAGGAGAGTGGAGGAGGCGCGGCGACAGGGGAGTGCGTGAATAGGATCCTGGTGCCAAGACCGCCCTCCATTGAGGAATTCACTATAGTGAAGCCCATTAGCCGGGGCGCCTTCGGGAAAGTGTACCTGGGGCAGAAAGGCGGCAAGTTGTATGCAGTGAAGGTAGGAAGTCAAGAAAGGGGAAAGAAATAAAGAGTCTGGGCCCTCGGCCCTCCTTCCTGTCCACTAACTTGGGCAGGCTCCAGGGCTCCTGGAGCGACTAGTCTGGGTGGCCTGGCTCGCCAAAGCCTCCAGAGCCCTGCGAGATGACTTCTTCATTTGGAGTGACATTAGGGGTCGGGTCCGGTATCTCGCCTCTGCTCCACCTTCTGTCCTTGTCTCGGATGCTTAGGAGTCACTGCCCAGAGTGAGAGGAGCAAAGATTGACCCTTCCTCGTGACCAGTGTTAGCAAATGAGGAAACTGGGACCAAAGGCAAGCGGACTTGACTGAGGTGATCACATCGGCCTTAGCACGACTGGGACAGAACGCCAAAGCCCCGATTCATAGTGTAACCAGACTTGAGGCAGGTTTCTAAATCCAAAAAGTTTTAAGTAATTGGTGGTTTTGTTTTCCTTGTTCGTTTGCTTTGACATACAGAATACCTGTAATTTTTCTACCACAGAAGTTTGATTACTTTGTAGGCACTGACTTTTGAAGTTTCACTCTAACTATGAGGAAGCTGCTCCCCTTTTTCTGATGAGTCTGTTGTGAATTTTTTAAGTGTTAGTATTACCTGTTCGTTTAATGTATCTTCTGGATCCTTTTCACTAATTTGGTCTTTACAAGGATTAAGTTTGGAACTTTCATTAACCTTTAACAGTTTTGTCAGTTTGGTAATAGGTTAATTTCTGACCTACTATATAACCAACAGATCTCATTGAATGAATCTCATTTTTTTCTCTTCAGAGCTTCATTGTGAAATCTAGAATGTACTTTTATTTAAAGTGTGAGCTGAAATATGTCCTAAATCAATCCTTTATTCATGTAGCAGTATATATCATTCTAAAAACATTCAACGTATATTTGAAGCTGTTCTGTCCATTCTTTTTTTTTTTTTTTGAGACAGAGTCTCACTTTGTTGCCCGGGCTAGAGTGCCGTGGCGTCAACCTAGCTCACAGCAACCTCAAACTCCTGGGCTCAAGCAATCCTACTGCCTCAGCCTCCCGAGTAACTGGGACTACAGGCATGCGCCACCATGCCCGGCTAATTTTTTCTATATATTTTTAGCTGTCCAATTAATTTCTTTCTATTTTTGGTAGAGACGGGGTCTCGCTCTTGCTCAGGCTGGTTTCGAACTCCTGAGCTCAAACAATCCGCCCGCCTCGGCCTCCCAGAGTGCTAGGATTACAGGCGTGAGCCACCGCGCCCGGCCTTGTTCTATCCATTCTTGGTTCTCATGTACTCCCATGGTTTCAGGTTGCTCATCTTTCAGCACTAAGCGAAGGTGATAAAGGAAAGGAGAAGCCATCGGTCTCTTCATACGGTTTCATGTTCTATTTAACACTGTCAAGTGGATATCTATTAATAGCACACACCTCCAAATTGTAGTTGCCTAACCTTAAGCAATCCTCTCTACCTAACCACCTAAACTGTGAACCTCCTGTCTTCTCTCTCTCCATTTCATAGCCCACCATCATCTCTGTCCTTCATGCTAGAAACCTGAGTCTGTTGTTTTCTTTTCTTTTCTTTTCTTTTTTGAGACAAAGTTTTGCTGTCACCCCAGCTAGAGTGCAGTGGTGTCATCATAGTTCATTGCAACCTCAAACTCCTAGGCTCAAACTATCCTCCTTCCTCAGCCTCTCAAGTAGCTGGGACTACAGGCATACGCCACCACGCCTAATTTTTCTATTTTTTTGTACAGACTGGGTCTTGCTCTTGCTCGGGCAGGTCTTGAACTCTTGCCCTCAAGCAATCCTCCTGCCTTGGCCTCCCAGAGTGCTAGGATTACATGTGTGAGCCATCATGCCCGATCAGAAACCTGAGTCATTTTAACTTTACTTCATCTCTGTATCAATCATATCTCAATCATTTCTGTTAATTCTGTCTCTTGTAGTCATTCTTTTCACCCCTTCCTTTCCATTCTCAAGTCTCTGTCCAACTACAGACATTCCTTTTTCCCTCTATTTATTTATTTATAAAGGTACAATTCAGTGGTTTTTAGCAAATAGTTGTGTAATCATCATCATAATCCAATTTTAGAATATTTCCTTATCCCAGAAAAGACCTCTCCTGCCCATCTGCAGTACCTCCCACATGAACACCCACAGCCCCAGGTAACCACTCATCTACTTTTTGTCTCTATGGGTTTACCTTTTCTGGACATTTCATGTAAATGGGATCATATAGTATGTGTTCTTTTGCATCTGGCTTTTCTCACTTGACATGGTATTTTTGAGGTATATCAGGCCTTCATTTCCATACCTAGTCTATTGGACTAACCTCCTAACTGGAATCATTATCTTTCTTTTTTCGTTCATGCAAAGTCCTTAGAAGTTCAAAGTCCTTAGAAAAGCAGTCATGCTCTAAGTTCTGGCTCTAGATTTCCACTGTATCTTCCATATACCTTTTGTTTTAGCCACACCAGACAATTGACTTATTTTGCTTTTCTTCTCCTATCTTATTCATGGATTAAGATTCATCTTAGCTCTCCTTCAAACCTTCCCTGATCTTTCAGACCCATCCCATTGAAATTAACTGTTACTCGCTTTATATGTTCCCAAGACTTTTGCTTGTCCTTCTGCGGTACTTAGTAATCAGTCATCATCAGATGTTGAAATGAAAGCACCAATTCATTTGTTCAGTAAATATTTCATGAGCTTCCCCTCTGTGCATAGGATCTGAGGAATAGTGGTGAACAAAATAAACACGCCCATATCAGCCAGTGGAATGATAGGTGAAACATATTATAGGCTTGCTTTGTCAATTTTCCTGTTTTCTTGAAGGAGGTCAGGCTAAATTTACCATGTATTGATGATTTTATTAAATACTCTAATGAGTCTTTGAAAGAAATGTGCCTATTTTTTCTTGTAGTAGTCCTGAGAATGGATCCCAATGTTTCTGACTATTCAATTTAGTGCTCCAACTGTAGATTATAGTTTTGTTTCTGTACCAATTACCTTGAAACTTGAAGAGTAATTGATTAGTTTTCTGTAAGACAGCATTTGAAACTATTAAGTTTCAGTAGTTCTAATCATTTTTGCTTAAGATTTTTTTCTAGGCAAACAAACTTCCAACATTCTTCCTCTTTCTGATTCTATTCCCATCCATCAAAGAATCAGAAGGAAAAACAAATATTAGGTACTATTATGCTGTTCCCAGTTTCCTGATTATCTCGGGGCTTATTAGGAACATTACTGTAGTGTCTTTTGACTTTGTTATGAGAATAGCAAAACAGAATTTTGTTTTCTACTAACATGCAGGGTAGTCAGGGAGTATCTAATTCTTTTTCCTTCTCAAAAGGGATGTGATACATTTGCCACTTAATACCAAAATAAGCAACTCTATCTTGAAAGTTTTTTTTTTAACCTTAACTATTTTTCGGACCCAGTTTCCTGATGGCAGTGTGAGGTCCAAATGACATCTATATATGTTCCCTCTCTTGGTGTTTTTATGATGGCAACTTTGAAACCTGAGAACACTTTGTAATAAAAAATAAAGAGTCTGTTGTCATGTTGTCTATTTTAGGTTGTCAAAAAAGCAGACATGATCAACAAAAATATGACTCATCAGGTACAAGCTGAGAGAGATGCACTGGCGCTAAGCAAAAGCCCTTTCGTTGTTCACTTGTATTATTCACTGCAGTCGGCAAGCAATGTCTACTTGGTAAGTAAATAATTTGACATTTTTGCTTCATTCATTTAGCAGTCACTGAACCCAGTGATTTAAGAGCACCATATCTGGATTCAGAGTACCTGCATTTGAATTCCAGTTCTGGCACTCACTAGCTTTATAACCTGGGCCAATTTACATGTTATGTTAATTACAGTTCTCTGAAGAAAAAGAATAAATAGGATGTGTCTGTGTGTTGTGTCTATGTACACATACATAGAAAGAGAAAATTTTAGGGAGTCAGTTCACACAGTTGTGGGAGGTAGCAAGTGCAAGAGTAGTGGTGCTGGCAATTTAGATGTGCCAAAGAGAAGCCATGAAGTGCTTCCTTTAAGTGAAAACATGAAAGTTCTTGATTTCGTAAGGAAAGAAAAAGTCATATGCCAATGGTGCTAAGATCTATTGTAACGATGAATCTTCTATCCATGAAATTGTGAAGCATTTATTGTTATAATTGTTTTATTGTATCATTAATTATTGTTGTTAATCTCTTACTGTGCCTAATTTATAAATTAATGTTTACCATAGGTATGATGTATAGGAAAAAACATGTATATAAAGTTCGGTACTATCTGAGGTTTCAGGCATCCGCGAGGGGGTCTTGGAACTTATTCTCCATGGATAAGAGGGAACTCTGTACTGTAATAAAAATGTTTTTAAAAAATTTGTGTTCTTACTGAGAGAATCCTAGTTCCTAAGAACATTAACATAATTACTCACTTTAACTTACAGATATATATCTAATATTTTCCAAATAACAACACTAATATTGTTTACTAACACTAAAGCTATTGGATTTAAGATTTCTGATTTCTTTGCAGTTCTTTTTGTTCTTGGGATGCACTGTCAAGATTCTGTTTTATAACTGTAGAATAGGGGAGGTTTTACCAAGTATAACGTAAAACCTATCTAAAATTTTAAAATATGTTATACAAGATATCATTTGCAGACTCAAATGACTACTTTAGAGAATATATTCATGGTCCAGAAGACAGATAAAGGGCTAATTTTAATACTAAGTAAACAAATTTTACAAATCAGTAGGAAATAGTAAATACCCCTGTAGAAAAATAAGCAAAGGATCAAAAAACAGTTCACAGATGAACTGTGGAGTTCACAGAGGATTTGTATTTTACTTTTGGTTCTGACGATGGAGATGGGAAGGGAAACAGAGGTCTTGAAAATTTAGGAAGAGTGGAATGAGTGGCTCTGGTGTCTATTACCAAAATTGATTTGTTTATCTGTGACAGAGAGAGGGTTACCTAAGGCTCAGCCATCCCAGTGTGACGAAGTTGAGTCTGTTTTGAAGCCAGGGTCCATCTATCAGACTGAAGTAGTTTTAGAGGATCCGTGGGAATGGAGGGTGTTGGTTCAGGAGGCCTCACTGGTTCTGGAAGGCAAGTGCAATCCCCTCTCTAAAGGAGGTGGCAATGTCACTTTCACTGTCTCTCCTTTTTGCAGTGAGGTCACGGTCAGACAGGGGTCTCCTGGGGCAGTTCTTGTTTAAGTGCCCCAGTTGGTTGTAGTGAAACAGGGTGTAGTTTCTGCAGCAAGGTGTGGTCCTGGTGTCTTTTTGTCTGAGCCTCCAGGGTAACTCTGTCTCTGAAAAGTTTCTCTCATAGTGATAGCCACCATTTGGAAAACTTTTTTTTTTTGTTTCCGGGGCCTGCTGCCGACCTTGCTTTCTCTCCTTCTGTCTCCCCTCTTTATATCAGTTGTTGAAGACCTTGAAGGCCAGATTTAAAAGTTTTTCTTGTGGAGTCTAAGGCCCCTTTTTAAGTTTTTGGAGTTTACGCCAAATATTGGGGGCCAGTTGAGAGATGAAGAAAGAGTGTCCCTCTCTGTTGTCAAGATCAAAGTTAGTAAAGAGGAGAATGGATTCGGACTGCCATGAAAGAAAAAAAACTAGATTTTTTTCTGGCTCTGAGTAATTTTTTTTTTTTTTTTTTTGAGACAGAGTCTCACTTTGTTGCCCTGGCTAGAGTGAGTGCCATGGCGTCATGGCTCTGAGTAATTTATGATGTCTTCTGACCCAGCAACCTCTCCGAGAGGGAGCTGGTGTACAGTTTGGAACAGCCACTGGAGTGAGCGCAGCTCGGTGAGAGTGGTGGAGATAGAGAAGAAGAAGGAGGAGGGGGAGCAGGGAGAGTGGAAAGAGAAACGTTATCTGGGAAGTGAAGACAGCGATAGAGACGGTGGAGTAAGAAGTAACATGCGGCAGGCAGAGTTAAGATCAGGATGTCTAGCAAGTTTAAAGAAGGCCTGAACGTAGAAAATTTCAGACTCCTAGTCGAGTCAGCAGTAATAAAAGTCAAGATGTAGAATGACTGAGAGATCCATTTTTGGGCCAAATTTCCTGAATGTTGTCTATAGAAAGAAAAAGGGCAAGGACTTTAGGGATGGTCATACATCAAGACACTAACCTTTGCGGTGCTGATTAGACATCAGGCATCACCGAGTTTTGATTCAGATTTGAACTGCATTTAGAGTGTTAGCCAGGAGGCAGGTGTCCCTGAGTCCTGGTCCAGACGGAAATCTACAGACGAGATTCTCCAAAGTCAGGCATCCCTGGGTCTGGGTGAAGTCCGAGAAGAGGTGGCTAGGAAGTGTCCTCCCCAGGAACCTTTCTGAGAGTGGTAGACCAGCACCAGAGTTTTAACCATGGAGCTGTCGACTCTTTTTCAAGTGCATGACCATTTTCAGAGTCCTAGAGACTTATCAAATTTTGAATGAGGGCACCAATAATGAAGTCCTGGGAGCTGTATAGCAGAGGAGGGAGCAGTTTAGAGACAGAAGCAGAAAAATGAGCTATTCATACTGAGGCAGAGAAGTGATTCAGTTTCCCCATATGGGCCACCAAAATGTTAGAGTGGGAACTCATGAGGAGCTCACAGCAGGGCTTGGAGAAAGAATTCTCACACCAGGAGTAGAATAGTAAGTAGTAGAAAAAAGTTTATTTTATTTTTCCGAGAAAGAGAGAGAGAGAGAGAGAGAGAGAAAAGGAAGGGAGTGGCCATGACACACGAATTAGGGAGAAGTGTTGGACCATCGAGGAGAAGTGGCTCAATGTCTTTAAGGGGTAAAAATGGCTCTCTTTTTTTTTGTGCTTCAGCAGACTGATAACAGAAGTAGCTGTGAAGCTGTTGCAGGTGTTTTTATTTTTTTTCTTTTTTCTGTGAGGCTGACTTTTCAGAGCCCTTGGAAATGTGTTTCTAGCAGAAACTGAGACAGAGAAAGGGAGCAGAAAGCTCACACCCCTACTGTCTGCTTAGGGCTATTCAAGACTATAAAACAAACT